GTGAAATCAATGATATGAAGAAAGTGGTGAGGTTAGGAAAATATTGAAGAGAATCTTGTTTGATGGTTAAATCCTACTAGCCAATGCCAACATATCTTACCATACATAATGCATGTAAGGTATGCTCGTATTTTCCTTTATGAAAAGAAAACATGCAAGTCTTGTTCCAGGTTTCGCAAGGAAAACAGGATCTACTATTGTCTTGTGAGTAAGAGATAGGCGCCTGTCAAATTTCTCACATGTCTCTTACGTATGTTCCAATGCATTGTACTCTATTACAAGATGATCTCCTTCATCCCCTATTTTACCAGAAAACTGAACAAATTTCTTATTTTACCAATAAAAGGTATATAAAAAAGGGTTCTCAAGGTTCTACCAAGGCATAAGGCTTTATTCAACTTTATTCAATTTCTGAATGTGGTGCTCTTACGCTAGGTTTGAAGTTACTTAGAAAGCTCACTGTTAAATCTCTTGTATACATGCCAAGTAAGTGGGGCAGTGCCCTCTATTTTTTGTTGCAATTAAAAAAATCTATTATTGCAGTATGGACTAATGATTAGTGTGTATCTGTCATGATTACCTCTGCTGCTTATCCCCACCTCCTTATTGATGACTGGAGTTGCATCTACAGCTAAATAGGTTGAGGACATTTTTTGCCAGTTTTGAAAAAGTTGCCCCAAGACATGCTTAACCCCTTAAGGACCGCAGACGGTTCAGGACCGTCATCTGCATTTTCCCATTGCCGACCGCTGACAATCCTGAACCGTGCTAACGGTCTTAGTTACTTACCCGATCGCCGTCGTTCCCCCGGTGGCGATCTTGTGTGTTGCTCCCATTGTGCAGAGACTGCCTGCAGCCCAGACAGTCTCCCCACACTGGATTAGGAACCCTGGGGCCATGTGATCGCTCAACAGAGCAGTCTGTGCTGACAGGCAGTCTCCCTGCTAGTGTAAAATCATTACAAAAAGTAAAGCTAGTGTTAATTAAAAAAAATTCATTATATATGTGTAAATATATATATGATATATAGACATTATATTTATATAATATGTCTATATATCATATATATAATGTCATACTAAGTGTATTTTTATATTAATATGTACATATATTAATATAAAAATACACTTATAATTAAATTACACACGTATATATATATAATATATATAATAACTATATATATTGTATATATATATATATTATAAAATATAAATAATAAGTAATTTAAATGAAATTAAATTTTTTTTAAAGAATAATAAAAATTAAAAAAAAATTATATATCTATATGAAATTTTATTCTAACTGTATTTTGATATTACTATATATATATTTATATCAAAATACACTTAGAATGAATTTGTATATATATCTATGTACATATAAATAAATAGAAATAATACGAAATATACATATGTCCATATACATAATTACATAAATAATTATATAAATATACACATAGACTTCAAATATATAAATATGCATATATATTTAAATTCTACGTGCGTATTTATGTAATATTTTCATAACTAAGTAATTTTATTGATTGCAATTTGAGGGACCTGCCGAAAGTCCAGAGAATTTAATTTGCTAGCACTGTATTTTACCCTGTAACGTTCTACGACACCCTAAAACCTGTACATGAAGGGTACTGTTTTACTCAGGAGCCTTTGCTGAACACAAATATTAGTGATTCAAAACAGTAAAACATATCACAGTGATGATATTGTCAGTGAAAGTGACTTTTTTGCATTTTTCACACACAAACAGCACTTTTACTGATGATATAATTGTTGTGATACGTTTTCCAGTTTTGAAACACTAATATTTGTATATAGCAAAGTCTCCCGAGTAAAACAGTACACCCCATGTACAGGTTTTATAGCATTTTTGAAAGTTACGGGGTCAAATATATGGGTCAAATATTTTTACATTGAAAATGGCCAGGTTGGTTACGTTGCCTTTGAGAGTGTATGGTAGCCCAGGAATGAGAATTACCCCCATGATGGCATACCATTTGCAAAAGAAGACAACCCAAGGTATTGCAAATGGGGTATGCCCAGTCTTTGTTAGTAACCACTTAGTCACAAATACTGGCCAAAATTAGCGTTCAATTTAGTTTTTTACTTTTTTCACACACAAACAAATATGAATGGTAACTTTGGCCAGTGTTTTCAACTAAGTGGCTACTAAAAAAGACTGGACATACCCCATATTGAATACCCTGGGTTGTCTATGCAGTGTGTGTCAGGGTAGTGTATGCAGTGTGTGTTGTGTTAGTGTATGCAGTATGTGTGTTGCGTTAGTGTATGCAGTGTGTGTGTTGTGTTAGTGTATGCAGTGTGTGTGTGTGTTTTGTTAGTGTATGCAGTGTGTGTCAGGGTAGTGTATGCAGTGTGTGTGTTGTATTAGTGTATGCAGAGTGTGTGTTGCATTAGTGTATGCAGAGTGTGTGTTGTGTTAGTGTATGCAGTGTGTGTGTCAGGGTAGTGTATGCAGTGTGTGTTGTGTTAGTGTATGCAGTCTGTGTGTTGTATTAGTGTATGCAGTGTGTATTGTGTTAGTGTATGCAGTCTGTGTGTTGTAATAGTGTTTGCAGAGTGTGTGTTGTGTTAGTGTATGCAGTGTGTGTCAGGGTAGTGCATGCAGTGTGTGTTGTGTTAGTGTATGCAGTGTGTGTGTTGTATTAGTGTATGCAGTGTGTGTGTTATGTTAGTGTATGCAGTGTGTGTTGTGTTAGTGTATGCCGTGTGTGTGTTGTGTTAGTGTATGCAGTGTGTATTTTGTTAGTGTATGCAGTGTGTGTGTGTTGTGTTAGTGTATGCATTGTGTGTGTTGTGTTAGTGAATGCAGTGTGTGTGTAAATGTGCAATCTAGGGGTGGGGGGGAGGAAGGGGCATTTTCACATTAATTTTTTAATTTTATATTAAATTAATTAAATGTTTCCATCCCTGGTGGTCCGGTGGAATGTTGGAGCCACCGGCTCCCTGTTACCGCAGAGGGGGCCCAGCACACTGCCTCTACTCTTCTCTTCTCCTCTCTTCTAATAACTCTTGCGAGACCCGCGGTCTGCGTGCCGCGTGGAGCATTGCCATCGCAACGCTCAGAATGCCGCGGGTCTCGCGAGAGTTATTAGAAGAGAGGAGAAGAGAAGAGTAGAGGCAGTGTGCTGGGCCCCTTCTGCGGTAACAGGGAGCCGGGGGCCCGCGGCTGCACACATAGATAGCGATATTCACTATCTATGTGTGCAGAAAGGAAAAGTGGGGCCCGGGACTGCCAGAGCAGTCCGGGCCACCCAGGGCCACCGGGCCTGTGACAACAGTCACGGTTGTCACCCCCTGATGGCGGCCCTGGTCAGATATATAATGATAAATGGGATTAGAGGGCTGCATCCTTAAATATAAAAAAAAAACCTTATGGTGAAACATATATAGAACACCACCCACACCTAACCATCAACAAATATAGGACCACCGGGCCCGTGACAACCATCACCCCCTGATGGCAGCCCTGGTAATATGAGAACTGTTATATAAATTAAAGGTTTTTACAATTTATTTCTCTTAATTATATGCACCTGACCCTGATAAATGTTCTACACTTGGTATCAATAGAACAAGTTCCTATAAATGAATGTATTATTAAATATTTTCATATAGATTTCTTCTGTTGACGATTGTCAAGGCAAGAAAAAGAAACACACTTTAGAAATCCGTATAGGCTTAACCCCATAAGGACTGAGCCAGTTGTACAAATTGTGATCAAAACAAAACTTAAACAAAACCTGGCGTCTGCGCTGTCTGTCCAACTGTAATTCACCTCTTTCATATAAAATGCACCCACACTTATTATATATAATTTTATTCAGGAGAAACAGGACTTTCGCGTCACATCAAATATTTATATATTAAACTTAATTTAATGTGAATAAAATGTAAAAACATGAGAAAAATTTTGATTTTTAAAAAAAAATTTCTTTAGTACTGCATGGCATTTTAACTGTGAATGTCATAATATTGTTAGCTGTTACTGCAATAAAATGCACATATTTGTATTCAGTGAAGTCTCAGGAGTGAATTATTGCCCCCCAAGTACAGGTTTTATAGCGTTTTGGAAAGTTGCAGGGTAAAATTTAGCACATTAGATTTCTTAGTTTATACACATTGAAATTTGCCAGGCTGGTTATTTTGCCTTTGAGACCGTATAGTAGCCCAGGAATGAAAATTACCCCCCTAATGGTATGCCATTTGCAAAAGTAGATAACCCAAGGAATTTTAAATGGGATATGTCCAGTCTTTTTTAGTAGCCACTTAGTCACAAACACTGGCCAAAATTAGCATTCTAATTTGTATGTGTGTACAGGTTTTATGGTTTCTTGGAAAGTTACAGTGACTTTCTACCTGTGTTGTCAGGCAAGTCCCTCAAATTGTAATTAATGAAATTACTTAATCATGTAAAAATATTATATAAATATATATGTAAAATTTAAATATATATATATTTATATATAAATATGTATCTATACATATATATAAATATATATATTTATATTATTTTTATTTATATATATACATATATGTTTTTAAATATATATGTATATTAATATCAAAATACAGTTAGAGCGAAAGTACACAGGTATATAATTTTTTTAAATTTTATTTTATTTTTGTATTTATTTTTTCATTTTTTTAAATGTTCTTATTGATTATTTTTATTATATATATATAACATCATTGTAAGTTTATTTTAATATTAATATAACGCCCGCTGTCCTTAAGGGGTTAATAATGAAACAATAACAAAAAGAAAATCTACACAACCAGGAAAAAAATTAAACGGTGGAAATAAAAATAAATAAATGTTTATAAAAAAATAGCTTTCCAAAACACATGTGAATATGATTTCTATTTTAAAAAGAATTGCAGGAAGTCCACAATATTATTCTCGAGAACACTTTTAATCCTTATCCTTATCACTGAGATGAATCCGTTGTAGCCAAAATTATGTATTATATAGCGAAACACCTAGCGGGAAAGACTCACAGTTATAGCCTAACTGCAGAGCGGGAAAGACGCACAGTGAAATGGACAAGGGAGCGACACAGCAGTAGGCAGGGGTCGAGGGGCGAGCCCTCGGGCACACAGCTACCACTCACATATACCCGCACCCTACCAGGCCCACCCGGGCTGCAGGCCACCGGGCGGACAACCCGGATGCATCGCCCACACACACGTGGGCACCAACAAAAGCGACAGAAGAGCACAACACCCTCTGTCACTCCCGTGAAGGGAGAAAGCTCGGGCCGAAGAGGGGACCGAGCTTGTGACCAAGGAATGCAGGCCAGCACGCAAGCCTGAGGCTGGAGGGACACCCTCACACAAACCTGCACTGCACATACACTCACACAAACCTGCACTGCAACAGTCCACAGAGATCCATGATTAAAGATTAAAGATTAAATATGTGAAATATAGATAATAATTGCCTCCACTGACATCAAATACCAGCAAAATCAAAATCACTCCAAGCACCAATACAGCCTAGACCTGTTACTAAGAGGACCCCAGCTTACTCTGAAGGAGCCTGTTCCAGAGGCATTCCCATAAACAGTAAAACAAGCAGATATTCTAAAGGAATATTTTTTATTTTAATTGATGGTTTTCACTTTGCATATTGTTTATTGCATCATCATTATAATGCTTGCAATGGTATCCCTTTCTGAATGATGCAGTATCCCTTTATTAATGAAATATTTCTAGTCATTTTAGGGTTTTCAAATAAATCTCAGAATTGATTGCAAAGAGTTAGGTCAATTTTCTAGCAATGCACATGATATGTTACAGAATTCTACCATTTCTTTTCTTACGTTACTGTAACATCACAAGCACCCATGTTTGTGTCTATATCAGGGTTATTCACCAAAGTGAGAATTTAAAAAGAATTGCAAGTGAATTTCAAATTTAAGGTCACAATAGCCACATTCCCTATTTCACAGTGCTTGCAGTTCAGCTATTCTGACTTTAAATTTGAATGTAACTTTGAATTCCCATTTATGTAAATAACCCGGTATATGAAGTTCAGATGAGTGTTGTTTTAGAGCCATATATCTGTCCATAAACACAAATCTCACAAACATCATCATGTCTTCATCCAAACCAGTTTATTTTGTTTGCCTTAAATATAAATGAAGCTTGTTTAAGTTTTGCAATTGAGGCATCACTATCGGTGCAGCATAAAAGCAGGCTAACAGAAATCCTCATTCGTTTTAAATCTAATTGCAAAATCTGAACTAAAATATAAACATTCTTATGAAATGCATTTTATGTGTTGCAGTTGTAAGTCAAATAGAAATATAACTCGGAATTTTGTAAAATTAGGATAATAATAGATAATTCCCCAGGAAAAAATAAAAAATATTTATAAAGGGGATTAAAGGGACTGTATAAGTAAATAAATGCATATCCATCCTTCCCCCCAACATTAAACCTATTGTAACTAAATCCTTTTTCATCTAAATAGTGTAAAAATTAGCTTTAGAAGTACCTGTTTTAATCTTTACTTTGATCAGATTTTCTTCTCCTCCTGTGCTTGCATGTCATTTTGCCCTTTGTTTTTCCCTGTTTGCTGTATTTCTGCCCAAGAAGCACGCAACCTAAGATACACTGATACACTACAAATACAGGATTAAGACCATAGAATGAACACACACACATTTCCTCAACACGATAGATATCATATAGTGTCATATGTTTATTATAAAGAGACAGACAAACTCATAAATAGTTAGAGAGTTTTGTGTTATCTATCTATCTATCTATCTATCTATCTATCTGTCTGTCTGTCTGTCTGTCTGTCTATCTATCCATGTGATGGATGGCCTGATTTGTTTGGCGCAAGCCACAAGCTTGCGGCTCCATTTTTTGTGACCATATTCCATGTATCTAGATATTGCTGTATTGTGTACCTGTATTATACATAGAGCAGTGTGTGTCTGTATATGCAGCCGTGCGTGAACAAAGGGGGGGTTTGGGGGGAGAGAAATGTGACAAAAAGAGATTTTAATGTGTCACATGGCACAAGAGGCAGATCCTCCCCCCATGATGCGATATCTGCCTGGCCGATCTAGGTAAGCTTTTGTTGTCAAGGTGGACTTGCAGATGGGGGAAGGGTAATGTAGTTTGTATATACTGATGTGACGTGAAAATTAAGGCAGTTGCTGTTTGTACCAAGAAAGAAGCTGGTTGTCTCTTTCCTTGCTGTAACTATCCAAGATCTGCTATAATGTGAATGCTGGTGGATAAAAAGACTCCAAGCCTAGGTCAAAGCACTTAGTATAGTGATCAGCTGTGCAAGTTAAGTACCCACGGACGATATTAGGGCTGTATCGTCACAACACACATATACATATATTTTTGTGTGTAAATGTAAATAGGTATGTATCTGTATGGAAATATGACAGGTGTACTGCACATTCACGTGACCACCCAGTACTGGCTCCCCCACTAGCACCTGTTAAAAAAATAACTATTCTGGTTACCAATAAAAATTAATTAAAACAAATATATGTGCTCCTCCAGTCCCTGTTTATTAACCTCCCTACCCACTGTTAATCCCTTCCAGTCCCTGTTAATCAACATCACTACCCACTGTCAACCCCTTCCTGTAAAGCCAACTTTCCTACCCACTGTTAACCTATTCCCCTTCAGCCCCTGTCAGCCAACCTCCCTACCCACTGGTAACACCATTCCCTCAAGCCCCTGTCAGCCAACCTCTCCACCCACTGTCAACCCTTCCCCTCCAGCCCCTGTCAGCCAACCTCACTACCCACTGTTAACCCACTGTTAATCCTTCAACCCATGCCAGCCAACCTCATTACCCACTGTTAACCTCTTCCTCACAAAGCCCATGTCAGTCAAGTCTCCTTCCCTTCCAACCTCTGTTAATCACACTAACTGCCTACTGTTAACCCCTTTCCTGCCAGTCCCTGTTATCCGCCATCCCTCTGGTAACCCCTTTCCTGCCAGTCCCTGTTATCCGCCATCCCTCTGTTAACCCCTTCCCTGCCAGTCCCTGTTATCTGCCAATTCCGCTGTTAACCACTTCCCTTCCAGTCTCTGATATTTGCCCATTGCACTAATAACCCCTTCAGTGCCAGTCTCTGTTATCTGCCAATCCCACTGGTAACCCCTTCCCTGACAGTCCCTGTTATCCACCTCTCCTTCTGGTAAGCCCTTCCCTGCCCTTACAATTATAGCCCTTAGAATTATAGCACAAGCACATTACAAGACATGCTGTTTAAGAGTTAAGAATAATTTGTACACACTACCTGCAAGTAAAGATAACAAAATCAAAATAGATTCAGAAATTAGTCCTGTCTGTTAAAATGCCCAATATGTCTAGGATTTCAATAAATTTTTAGAAGTTGCAAAGCAAATATTGCATGGAGTGAATTACAGTTTTATCCGTCATCCTGCTGTCACTATTTGTGGCCCCAGCTGATAGAGGAGACCCTTAGTTATTGCAAGATACCTTGGGCATCCTGATTTTAACCGGAGGAAGAGTGGGATATCACTCAGAAATACTGTGTCTAAGTGCGATCACTCATTTGTGGTATTCAAAAATATCTGTTGCCCCAGCTGACAGAGGGCACACCTTTGTATTCAATGATACCTGGGGCTCCTTGGTGCCATCAGGGATTTAACCCTACTAATACTTTTAATGCATGATGGTCTGTGCCATCAACAGGTGTTAAAGCCCTGCACTGGCCAATGGCATAGTCATGTATTAAGACAACAACTTTAGGGTAGTGAAGTAAGACTGTAGCGGCATGATGTATACACCCAAACTGCGTCATCATGCTAAAGTTGTTTTGGTGCTTAGAGAATATCTTTAAAGTATAAGACGTTATTTTAACCCACTATTTCCTCTACAAATTTTTAAAGTACATAGCGTAATACATTTTCCATTGTATACAATTTTCGTGGGCACAATTCTCAAAAATATCTGTATTCAATAGACTGAATAGCTTAAAAAGATAATAGAAAAAGAGATCAGTTATAAGTTATATGTAATTTATGATGGAAATATATGCATTAGTATTCCATATGACTTAGCATATCAAAAAAACACGTAATGCTGGGCCTTATTTTAGCCACCACAGCTATTCCCTGCTTTTGGAAATCGGTTGCTAATCCATCTATCACCGATGTTCTTATTCATCTATTTGAAAGTTAGAGATGCAAGCTTATTCTCCGCATACCATCAGCCAGTGGTGTCCTCTTATGACACAACTGGTCTGAATGGGAAAAGGCGATGAGGAATACATTTAAATTGGTCTGATTATCCATCAGGTCGAATCTCATCGTTTACATTTCTCACCATTTTGAAAATGTTTTATTTCTTTCTTATTTCAATTTTATCCGTATAAATTACTGAAAACATGACAGCCTTTTTTTCTATATACTTATTTAATTTTTTCCTTTTGTTTTCTTTTTTTTGTTATTGATGGTTGTTGGCTGCATTGCGGACGCAATATTGTTCCATTCCCCACCTTCCCTTTCTCCTCCCTCTCCTCCTCACACCCCATTTTTAAAAATTTTATTTTATCCTTGAGTTTATTATTCTATCAGTATTATAAGTTTTCTGTTGGTCACTGTGACATTACACATTTAACTTAATAACTTCTAGTTCATTATCTCAGCCACTGTATTCTAGTTATGTATATAAATTTCTGTTTGTGACCATTACCTGTTATATTATCTTACGTAGATCATTACCATTACCATTTATTAATTAACATAATATTTTTAAAAATAAAAAAACATTTGAAATAAATATATGCTTTAGCTTTGTAACAACAATAACTTGGCATCTATACAGTTGAAAGTTGACTAATTTCTTAACAATCTGTGAAGTGGAGCACAATGGAAGAGCCTAGTCAATTTTAATTTCACTATCCAATACAGTTTAGGAAATAAATGTTGACATAGATATATATTTTTTATGTAATTCTATTTTACAGAAGAAAGAAAACGAATCAGGAGTCCTGTAAAATGAAGAGATGTCACTATTGTTTCCATCAAACAGAATGTAATCACACGGTAAGCGATACCACTGTGGAACCTCCACTTCAATTACATCTATAATAGAAGCCATAATGCAGATAATAAAGACATGCAAGTAACGAGAGATTACCTTCTAAAATTTAAAGGGACACTATAGGCACCCAGACCACTTCAGCTCATTGAAGTGGTCTGGGTGCTGTGTCCCTTTTGCATCTAATGCTGCAATGTAAAACATTGCAGTTCCACAGAACATTGCAGCACTAAGTTTACATTGCAGTACTAAGTCTGCCCTT